GAAATATTGTTCAATAGCTAATGAAATTTTAAGGATCAACAACCAAATCAGATAGATTTTTCTTGCTGCAAATACTTATGAATTTTCTCGCTATTTGGTACATACGTATGTAAACACAACAATCCCGAATTAAATCTCAGTCGCCAAGATTGAATCATGCAGCACATGTATCCAATCACCGACAGATGACTCGAAAATCATCTTCTACGGAACATTCGCTTCAAAATATCAGTAGATAATTATTTCGTAACATGTTTATTTCTTATCAAAGTCATCACAAGCACCAATTGTATAAAATCCATTACTTGGGGACATCACATTTAAAGGCATTAAAGAACGAATTATTATTTCTTTGCATAAATATAGTTTTTTTGCATATTAATAAAAAAGTACAATAGAAAAAGAGTAATTTAGTCCAATTAATTATTTTATCGAAACAAAAAATATTATAGACTTTGATTTTTTAAACATTATTGGTGCTGCAAGAACATGTAGATCGGTTCATGTGGTCAACAAAATTAGAATTAGCGTCAGAGTTATTGTTAAAATTAAGGTCAGGAGATTCTTATACATATTAAGGAATTTTTCTATTAGAGCACAAAGATCGGTTTCTTATGCAAATTCTTAAGGGTTTTTTTTTGACAAAGCGAACGTTTGTTTTGAATTTTCCTGACCGCGTTACGTTACACAAAATTATGATTTATCATTGGTTAATTTGTCGTTGATCATCACATGACTCGTAAAAACGGCGGATTCGGCTCACGTAGCAAAGCGCGTGCAGGCTATTAATACTGTACTTAAATACTTTGCACGAGATATAACGCAGTTTGCGCAAAAATGAGAACATAATCTCGTGTCGAGGGACATTTTTAAGCAATGCAAGAAAATTCTAGCATTTATGCATTGAATTAATAATATCTGATATTGAATCAAATGATCACTTTTTTTTCGATTATTGTAAATTGTTTCTTAACAAAATGCCAGAAAAAAAAAAAGCTTTATTGAATTTCATAGGCAATAATTTATATAAAAGATTCTTTTTGATTTAAATTATAATACGATTAAATATATATGTGTATGCTAGATGATTTCGCTGATTGTTTATGAACATTATATATATATATATATATGAATAATGAAAAATTATACAAGAAATTGTAAAAAAGCATTTAAAATTTCATGTCTATATATGCAAATAAAGTTTAAATATTTGTTTAAAAAAGATCCTGATGTTCATACAAATCTAAATAATAATAATAAATAATAATAGTAGGCAATAACAAATAATAGTATATAAACATAATACATAAATAATAAATAATGTTGTATCTACATGTAAAAAAGGAAAAAAAATATAATGCAAAATACAGAATTTGATAATAAATGAGACATTGATGAATAAAATCATATTGATATAGATGTGTGATATGAATATAATAATGTTAAAATCATCTTAATAATAAATTATAAATAATATTTTTATAAAATGATATATATATATATATATATATAATACTACCAAATAAACTTATAAAACCACTTATAATCCATCATATTGTTCATAATCATCACCATGGCCAACACCGATGGAAGTGACTTCAAGATAACCAGTGTGATTACCGAACTTGAAACCTCCGCAATTGCCGCAACTCGATCTTCGAGATAGGACATTTATGGCATTAGCGTTAGACATTCTTGATTGATCGTTATTAGAAGGATATTCGGTATAGTAGTTTATGTCGTCTTCTTTCTTCCTCAGACGTTGTGGGATCTTGTTGAAAATTCGGAGGTGAGTCTCATTGGAGGAAGACATTCGACCATAGACACCACTTCCCTCAACAACAAACCCATTATTGATATTATTGTCAATAGAGGGATTATTGTCATTCGTATCCATAAAGACGTACCTTTGCTGCGAATTATGAACATTTTGTAATCCTATATTCCTCATTGGTTCCGTCATCATTGTCGTTCCGGTTTCACTTTCATGTTCGATGGAGTCCAAGGCCATTGAATTTGTTCTTGCATGAGATTTAAACGTGTTTGTCGAGAAATTAATAGGTGATGAGGTGGTCGTAGGTGTTTGTTGTCTTTGTCGTTGCTGCATTGGTTGCGAAGTGAAGTAATCTGTAGGTGATGCTGAAGTACTTGGTGGCAATGATGGCGTTGTTGTCGTTTATATTGGGTTGGGCCTATTTTAGTGCAAGATTTAAGTATTCTAACAGTAAAATCGTTCAAAAAACTTTTTGTTAATGCGCAGAAACGAAGATTTTAAGTTATAAGTGATTTTTGACAAACGAACTTTTGTTTTGAATTTTTCTGATCGCGTAACATTACACCAAATCGAAATTCATTATTGGCTTATTTTCGTCTATCATCACGTGATGGTAAAATTACATAGTAATTTTGTTGGCGATCCTGGGGTAGTTGCCTTTAAACATCGATAAATTGCGTATTTAAAACTTCGCAAAAGTGATCAAAAAAATAATAACACGTATAACATAAATGCGGTACTGTTTTTAGTGTTTTTTTTTTACGAAAAAAAAAAAAATTTATATAGGACATACTCCCGGTTTATAATGTGATCTTTTAGTCCATACTATACAGTAGCTCCGGTATACATAATAAAAAATTTGAAAGCCTGGTTTAAATTACTTTTTAAGTTAACTTAGTCCAGGATTTTTTAAATTAACTTTTAAACCCGAAAATTTAAAGAACTAAGTTTCAAATAATCACAGGTAAAACATCCAAAGCAAAAATTAATTATTGTAAATACGTAGTAGAAACATGCGTATCAGATTAGGTGCGAACAGAGCTACGTCAAAATTTGGACAATTACTCTCCTCCGTTGCACTCCGGATAATCAAATACTGTATTATTGTTGATTGGCGCAATTTTGCATGCATAACAATTGATTTGATCGGTATTAACAGACATTGCATTTCAATTACAGTCAAACCTCTCTATAGTCACACCTTTGGGATACAAAAACCTGTGATTATAAAGAGGTGTGACTAATATAGAGATATTTTTTATATAGCTATAAATAATTGGTAAAACTAAATTTGTAATTATACTAATTTTGTGACTATATAAGAGGTGACTATAGAGGGGGTTAACTGTATATAATGAAATATATGTGCAGATGTGGATCGAGTTCCAGATACGACTTCAGATCGAGCTTTGATAAACAATTGACTTTTGGGGCCAAGTAGAACCGGAACAGACTTTTCGCATCCCTAATACGTAATTGTTAATTGTGCATGCTATCGTTATCGGGCCTGCCCACCTATACTGCAGGTCAATCAATTCTACACTTTTAAAAGTGTTAGAAACCACAATCGTCTTTTTATATACCGAATTAATTGTTCTGGGAATTTTATTATCGTCATATCGCGCTATTTTGTGTTACATGAATTTTACACGAGCTAGCACGCATAAACCACTTCCGTGATAATAGACCCTTATGGTAATAGACCAGGGTCTGATACTCAGGTTTGATTTAAGGGAAACAAATAAAAAAGCTGTGTCTATAGCATATACTATATATATATTATACCAATTTATGTTATTTTGTTATATCTGATATACTGTATTTCTTAACTGTTAACAATAGACCCTCCTTTCTTACAAGACTTTTGTGAGTCTAAATCAATTTTTAGATGATCCCGGGTGGTTTATGCGGTGAAATACGGTATTTTAATTTCTACGTAGTGCAAACACTATTTCTTGGTAACACATTTACGTAATAAACAGCTGATGAAACTTTAAAAAAAATATTGTTTTTTAATGTCACCCGAAATATTGTTCAATAGCTAATGAAATTTTAAGGATCAACAACCAAATCAGATAGATTTTTCTTGCTGCAAATACTT